ATTCTTTGTCTCCAAGAAACAAAGAAGCAAGTTAAGATTGAAGGATACCTCTCTTTTAATAGCAACCGCAAAAATTCACGCTCAGGAGGGGTCTGCATTCTTGCTGAAAATGGCCTAAGAAAAGGTGTCTCTAGTGTGCTTTGTAATGAATCTGATGACATTATTGTTGCTAAACTGGACAAGAACTTTTTTAAACTTGATTTTGACCTATTTTTGGTATGTTATTATATCAGCCCTGTATACTCGTCCTATGTCAAGAAGAATCCAGATTATACTGCTAATACCTTCTCTGCTCTTGACTCTATCTGTATCAGACTACGTCAAAAGGGAGAAGTTATTATGTGTGGCGATGCAAATGCAAGAACTGGAAAACTCCCAGACTATATCCTTTCCTGTAATGCACCTGCCATCCATGACATCTATAACGACATTGGACTCGAGCACGACATAGAAGAACCAAGAAATAATTCTGACCTTACAATATCTGAACCCCACTGCCAACACTTTCTTGACATGGTTATCAATAACCAACTCAAAATTCTTAATGGTCGTACCCTTGGGGACACCACTGGAAAAATGACCTGTCACAAATACAATGGAAGCAGTGTGGTTGACTATTTTATAATCACCTCATGGGCAAGAGATCATGTAAACTCTCTCCAAGTAAAAGAGTTTACATCATATTCTGATCATTGTCCATTAGTCTTGAAACTCACTACATTTGAACCATTTGTCGCAAACTTCCAGCTCCCAGACTTTTCTAACTTTCCTTGTGGCTATAAGTGGGATAGCAACACCTCCCATTCACTACAGTGCTGCTGATATAGCCTTAAAAGTGAAAAAGCCTCCCAAAAATTCTGCCCCAAAAGAAATGGTTCGACCCACAAGTCAACTCCTCGCGGCGGAACCTAAATAGGCTAGCAAACCGGCTTGGTAGTAAGCACTGTAACAGTATCCTCAGACGAGAATACTTTAAGCAACGCAACAAGCATAGCAATTTTGTAAACAGTAAGAAAGTAGCTTTCCTTAAGAAGTTAAATGAAGCTATAGAAGAAGGTCACATACTCGACTGGAAAAAATTTAAACGGCTTAAACAAGAACATGACACTAGCCCCTTACTTGACAAATTTGATTTAGCTAGCTTCCATGACTTCTTTGCATCCCTTTATAAAAAACCAGACCAGGAGCCAGATCTCACTCACCACAATCACAAACATTACCCTGAACCACCAGATCTGGATATCCTAAATAAGCTCATGTCAGAATCTGAAGTGACCTCTGCCATCAAAAATCTCAAAAAAGGTAAAAGTTGCTCAAACGACTTGATATCCAACGAGATGCTTCAGAGCGTAACTCCGCTTTGTCTCAAAGCCATCCTCAAAAACTTCAACCACTCACTGGTCTCTGGTTACTATCCATGGCACACCAGCATCATTACTCCTATTTACAAGTCTGGCAACCCTTTCAGCCCGGACAACTACAGAGCAATAGCTGTTGGTAGCTGTATGGGTAAACTATTTTCTAGCATCTTACTTGAGCGTCTCCTGCACTTCAAAAAGCTCTACTGCCCTGACCCAAAAGAACAACTAGGGTTCTCGAAGGGTGCTCAAACAAATGACCACGTTTTTACCCTTAAGACAGTCATTGACAAATATACCAAGGTTAAGAAAGCTCGCCTCTATGCATGCTTTGTTGATCTAAGAAAGGCCTTTGACACTGTATGTAGGGACCTCCTTCTGCACAAAATCACATGCCTTGGAATAACTGGAAACTTCTTCAATTGCCTAAGTGATATGTATAGAAACTCAATAGCTCATATAAAAATCTCCAAACTCTTGTCCCCTAATATTGACATTGGAAAAGGAACAGAGCAGGGACACCCCCTATCACCGGACCTTTTTAAAATCTATATCAACGACTTGTCATCTCTCCTGAAATCTGTTGGTGATTATCCTATTCTAGCTGACGTCCTAATATCACATCTGCTCTGGGCTGACGATCTTGTCCTACTTGCCCTAAGTCCCAAGGCCTTGCAAGACAATATAAACATCCTATTCGACTCTGTAACTCTATGGGCCTGGAAGTAAACATTAAAAAAACCAAGATTCTCATATTCTGCCCTCCTAAAAGAAAACAATCCTATGAAACATTCATTTTGGGAGGCCAGCCCATCCAACACACCGAAAAATACTGCTATCTTGGCATTATATTCCACAGAAATGGATCTTTTACAGCAGCAAATACTGAACTGAGGGCCAAGGCTCTCCGTGCTCTCTATGGCCTCAAAGGCAATATCGTCAAAGATGCCCTCTCTCACCGTTCCCTAAACATTCTATTTGACTCTCTAATAAAACCGATACTGCTCTATGGCTGCCAAATCTTATGTCCTCACTCAAAAACCATGAGATACCTCTCCAAAACTGATAGCAAAGCCAACCCCCAGCATACTCTCAGGTACATCTCACAAGACCACTATGAAAGATTCCACCTTAAGTTTATCAAGTGGTCCTTGTCTGTCCATTCAAAAGCATCAAATATAGGCTGCTGGGGTGAAAGTGGGCGCCACCCCCTCTTCTTTGAAGCCTGCAAACTTGCAATAGATTTCTATAGTCGTCTTGAAAGCACTGAAAATGAACTTCTCTCCGCTGCATTTCACGAGCAGATTATGCTGGGCCTTCCTTGGTACACCAACATCTCTAATCTTCTCACCAAATATAACTTCCCCCACTCATCCTCTTCAAAATCCAAGCTCTCTACCCAATTCAGTCACAACATGAGGGAAGAATTTGTGGATACCTGGAAATCTGCCAAGGCATCCTCACCTAAATTAGAATTCTACAATCAAATTAAACATGATTTTGAACCAGAAACATACTTAGGAGTGGTTAAGATCCCCGATGCTCGGAAAAGCTTAACAAGGTTTCGTATTAGCTGCCACAATCTTTACATTGAGAGGGGCCGTTACGAAACCCCCCTAGTACCAAGAGAACATCGATGGTGCACTTTTTGCTTTTTCAGCAAGGGGCTTAAGCCTATTGAGGACGAAATTCATGTTCTAACTGACTGTTTACTCTACTCCTCAGTTAGAGAAAAATTTAACTTCCATCCCAAAAATATTACTGACCTAGCCGGTTTGCTATCCGATAAAACACTAGACCCTACAAAATTTACTGCCACAGCAAGAGCAATCCATTCAATTCTCTCTGTGAACGAAAATTTTACAGCCTACTATAAGAGCCCAGATTTCCACTCAAATACTGGCCAATGCATAATGCTATAGGACCTCAAAAATAGTATTATAAAACATTTCTATTTTATCCCTACACATTTGTAAATAACTAGAATTGTGTAACCTTAAATTATTTCAGAATTATAACTATTGTGAATTCAATAAAATAATTATCACTTTTGTATCCTTGTATCCTTGTATCCTTGTATCCTTGTATCCTATATATTTAACATTTTGTTTTTCTTAAACAGCTTTGTGTCCCGTCACAAGGAACCTAGACAAGTGAAACTGTTACAGCCCAAAGCTTTTGTAAAACTAGCTAGGCTTTAAGCTGTTACAGTTCTATGATATCTGACTTGATTAATGTCAGTACCAGCCAGGAAGGTAATGGAGCGTTAAACTTTATTGAACTGGCTTAACTTTCCAAAAAGAGCTTTAAAAACGACCTCTTGAAACAAGCAGCACTTGGCAAAACTTTATAATAACTAATTTTGCTGAGTGACTGTCCTTATTAATGTCCAAAACACAGCAAAAAATAACTGGTTTTCCTGTTGTTGAGTTGAGTAGGATAAGTAAAACAAAACTATTTTGTTCTCTTTGGACATCGTTTGATTGTCTTTTGTCTTTTCTTTACGTTTTGTTTCGTTTCGAGATCGATTTCCCAACAACACCTGAATTGTCATACATTGTATGACCCGCCGCGCACGAAGTGCGCGGCTCCCCCTGTATCGTCAGGACGATAAAGGTGACCGTGGGGGTCGCAACGTGATACAACACCTGAAAGGGTATGGGCACCAGCAAACTGTGATAGGGATTGCCAGCAGTGATGACAAAAATTTTTTCGAAGTTTGGATGGATGACAATGACGGTGAAATTCTCAATCTCGGCTGTGAAACTCACCGTTTAGGTATGAGCTGAGGTGACTACTGAGATGAGTGAGTAAGGAACAAGAAAACACTTGTGTATTCTGCATAACTTAAGTCATACAACATACAATAATCTGCAATTATTGTTTACATTCTAATGAGGTATGATGTCCCATAAGGGGTCCTCAATAAATGTAATAGATTTGTAGTATTGTAATTAGTTTAGAGCTGAGTCTTAGCATCCTGTATAATTACATACAGGACGGGATTGTCGTTCATTATTATCTTTACCCTTGCACAAAGTGAGTTATTGAGGATAATATGCGATGAAATAGTGAATATATACATTCTTCAGGGCGGACTGTAATGTAGTATTTGTCCGAACTCTGAAATTAATTTTTAGATTTTGCAGATTTTATTTGTAATTTCACTCCCTCCCAACCTAATGTTAATTCCACAAATGATTGAAATTTGCCACCCCTATCCGTAGCCGGCTCGCTTCGCTCGCCGAAATTTTTCTCCCGCAAAAAAATTTTACGCCCCTAAAATCTTGTGTTCCTTATAAACAATAAGGTTGGGTACTTTTTTGGCGCCCCCTACATTTTTTTGCCGCCCCCTGAAGCAAAAATGGTACCCCAAATATTTTTTTCACGTCAAACGAACGCTAAATTTGACACCGATAAGGCGCTTTTTCCGTGAAATCAGACCTACAATCCAAAAAAATGCCGCCCCCCCTGCTAGCAAGGGTAGCGGGGGCGGTCGTTACGCCACTGATGGCGGGTTTGAGCCATGGACTTCCGATTCAATATTAAGATAGAAAACGATGGCGGGTTTGAGCCATGAAATTCACTTAACTCTTTACTGTTGTTATTACATTGTTGTAACTAAAGCCTTATTACCATTAGCAACTGGCATATGTTCAAGGGTGCAGGACTTTTCAGCAATGTGACATGCCCTAATGATCAAAGATGCAACCGCCCCCATTGTCCATTCAAACACAGTAAGTTATATTAGTTCAATTTAGAATAAACAGTGTATAAGTTACATTTCTTATTCTTTGCACCTTACAGCGTTACAGTAACAACGATCAGCTGCAATTAACAATAACCAATAAATTGGTTATTGTTAATTGCAGCTGATCGTTGTTACTGTAACGCTGTAAGGTTGTACTATACAAAATATTACCATATCTGCACTCATTTGTCATCAATAATATCATTGACTTCAACTATTTTAATCATTGAAATATCATTACCTTAGGTCCAGTAAACTCAGAACCTAAGAAAGATCCTCGACCAAAGGCTCTTCTGTTAGCTTCTTCGTCGGGAAACAGAAAACTACCTAGCTATGCACCTCAAAACTCACCCGCAGAGCCCAAAGTTACAGTTGATTACAAGCAGCTAATTCGTGGCTGTAAGTCTTACAAATCTCCAGGGAAGGAAGCAAAGCCCAATAATCTGTTTGAAAAGTTTACTGCACCAAATGTTCATTCTGGATCAGCTTCAAAACCTCGCTCCAGGTCACCTAGGAAACAGTTTGTTCCACCAAATGTTGATGAAAATAAGTATAGAAACGAAAGGCCCACATCTGGCAAAGAGAAGATGCCCCAAATTAAAAATCACATCGCTTCCTCAAATGTTAGGAATCATGAGATGAAAGGATCACATGGAAGTGACAGAGAGAAAGTTGAACGTCAAAAGAAGTCTGGAGATAAACCTTCTTTATTTGAGAAGTTGTCTGGTGTAAAGAAGCCTGCATCTGAGCAGGACTCTCATTTTTCTTCTGGTTCTGAAAAGAGTGGAGATGGGTCACCCACTAATGATTTCGAGTCTAACAATGTCAATGAATTTCCTCAGTATGATGATAGTAGTCAAGGAAAAAGAGCTGAAGGGTTGGTATACCGTCCTGGTGTTGGAATAACTTCTACTGTCTCTGGGAGCAAAACAGTTTCTCCAAAGAAAAATGATCAAGCAGACTTAATCCTGAATTCATCCTTAAATTTTTATGACCCATACAACAATTCAACTCCCACAGCAACAAGTCCTAGTAAAGCTAACTTTAATGACACATTTGAATATCAGCCATTCAAGCCTATCGACAAGCCTTTCTCAAAAACAGTTGATGTTTATGATAAAAAGCAAGCCTTAAACTCTTCGCAAGAAAGTGCAAATGCTAGTTTAGAGATTGAAGAAAGCAGCACCCTCTCAGATAATGATGATGAAACCCTCTTATCAGAAGATGATGAAATCCCTCTCTCTGATGAGGATGAAATCCCTCAATTACCTGAAAATGATGAACCATCAGATGCTGATGAATCTATACAGGAGATAGATGAAGTAGTTGAGGTTAAAGTAGTTGAGGTTAAAAATCGTCCTAATAAGCTTCCGATTAATAATATGCTGTCCAACAAAGAAATAAATATAACAAGAGATGATGCTGTTTTTGGAAAAAGTGATCTCTCTCCAGTCAAAGTCAGAAGAACATTCCAGAAGAAAAAAGCGTCTCCTGAAATCATTGAAATCATCAAAGATGAAGAAGATGTAATCATTGAGGCAGCATTTAAAAAAGATTTAGAAGATCAGACTCGCAAGAAATTGTTTATTGAGACCGCTCCAAGTTCTTCTAAAAAGTCAGGTAATTTCAAGGATGAACTAGAAAATTCAAGGAGTAAGAGGACAAAATTGATTGAAGATTCACCTGCAAAAAGTTTCGTGTCTCAAAAAAACAGCGCAGATGAAAGTGACAGCAGAGAATCGAGCATAGTCACTCCACAAAAATCCATTAAGTCAGGTGAGGAATCTGATGTTGAGGAGGAGACAGAAGAAAGGAAATTGCAAAGGCAACAAAAACTGGAGGAAATAAAGCTACTTAAGGCAAAGATATTCGAAAAACAGTGGATGCAATCAAAAGAATCTTCAAGCTCTAGTGCATCAAGTAGCTCAAGTGATAGTGACTCAGAAGTTAGTGGTTCTGAGGGTACATCAAAGAGTGACCAATCTGACTCTGACTACACGATAAATTCTGATGTCTCAGTAAAAAGTGAGCCCACTGAAGAAGCCGACACTGAGACTTCTCCTGAATCCAATAACTCTGACTCCGAAGTTTTGCCAAAGCGAAAGCGCAAAAGGTTGTCCTCCCCACTTCACAGTCGTGAAAATACAACTAAAGTTAAGCCTATCGAATCTTCTGAGGAACGTAAAGAACGAAAACTACAGTCTAAAAGAAGTAGTTCTAAAAATTCATCCCACAAAGATGCATCAAAACATGATAAGCACTCTTCAAGAAAAAGCATTCCTAATCACACTATCCTGATAGAATCTCAACCCTCCTGTAAATTAAAACGAAAGAAAGATCCAGATTCTGGCAGCAGAGATAGAGTTGAACACAAGGAAAAGGAGAGGACTCACAGGAAGGAGAAGGAACATCGAAAACATGGAAGGGAGGGAGAAAACAAGCTAAAGAGAAAACACAAGCTTAAACCTGGAGCTAGTGCAAATGTGAGGTCCGACCAAATAATCCCTCACCAACGTAAAATTGCTCAAAGAAAGATGCAGATAACTGAAAAGTATGATGATCGAATGTGTAAAAATAAAGAAGTGGATAATCGGAAAACTTTCTATGGAGCTAATAATCCCCTGATGTCTAAATATAAAAAAGAGGTGAGATAACATATTTTCATTGCGAATTTATTTATCTATTCAACGAATAATTTCGTCGGATATGTGATGAAATCTTCTCCTCAAACCCGAAAATTCGAGATCTCAATTTTAATTAAAGATTTGCCTACTTGATACTTGCCTATTTGCACTCCCTCATAATTTTACTTTCAGGATTTGTCCCACTTTGATCCACCCACCCCTCCCCCTGATGAAGATCCTCATCGCTATGGCAACCTTGGCAGAAAGAACCGGGGAAAGAGAGTTGCTCACAAACCGACAGATACTCACGCTAAAAAACGGGAAATCGTTGCAAAATCTCTGGAAAATAAAGTAAGCTTTTTTTTTTATCGCATCAAGAATTCTAATTAATAAATCAATCATAACTATATTTGTTTTAGAGTGTCACTATAGTAACATTGTTGCTGTAAAAGTTTTATAAATAAACTTAATGTTACCAAGGTTACAATTTGTATATGTAACCAATAACTACGGTCACGTGATATGTAACTATGGTCACGTGACATGTAACTATGGTCACGTGACATGTAACTATGGTCACGTGTATCAGGTAAAACACCCTGGGGGACCACGTCTGGACATAAAAGAGAGGTCACATGTTCCCGTAGCTATCAGACAGACACGACTAGACTACTTTATAACTGAGTACCTGAAGGTGTGGCCCAATAAGAAACAGAAGTGTTTCGATCACGGGTTAGTTTTGTTGTTTTTAACCTTGTGTGAGTTTTTGCTTTTGATAGATAGAATAATTATGTATCATATTTTTGAGTAAACATTGGCTAATACCTTAATACTTCTGGTCAGTCCCTAACAAAAAGTTATGCTGATATTTTTAGTGTGCTTGTAGCGCAAATGTAGCTGTGTGGTAATATAGCAAGATAATTTATTAGGAGCTAATATTTTAATTAGGTAAAAATCATTTTGAAATAAACAAGAATTGCGCCCGTTGTTTCGTTTTGGCGGACGCTAGATTTCCATTTCACATTTACTATACATTTAAGTATAAGCTCCAATCAGCTCACTTCAATCTTCATGATAATTATATTGATAAATTATGCATCAAATACGGGAAACACTTGCAGAAATTCAGTTCAATTGCCGTAGAACTTAACTAGTATTATCTAGTATTATTATCTAGTATTAACTAGTATTATTATATCTGTAATTCAAGAAATTGTGAGCAAAGGTAAGCTATACTCGTGTACACATCAATACACTACGCGTGCCACGTACAAATTGGGCGTATTACCTAATAGTGATATTATACATTACATCATACACATTAAAACACGTAGTCGCGCCGCGCATTCATTGATCACAGGCTATCTATACATCACATCTCCGCAAGCAATCCTCGCGCGCACCCAACTTTTTCGTTGCTTGGTAACATACGGAACGACACCATATTCAGACCCGCCTAACGCGATCTCCAAAATCCACGTTTTTCTGCCAAAACCTCCATTCGTAACCTTTCACTATTGCCTTTTTTCAAAAGGGTGAAAAGGAAAAAATGTAGCTGTGCGGTAGCAGCTAATATATTTTAATTAGGGTGCAAATCATTTCAAAATAACAAACTATATATTGCACGTGTGACTAAAATATATCCCGTCAGTTTAAAAGCGGAGAGATCGTGTTTAGAGCGATGTAAAACAAAACCTCTCTATGTGAACCTGTGTAGTAATGAGGTTAAGAAGATCAGAGAGCTGAAGGCAGCCCACTCTAACGGTGGAGCTAGTGAGAGTAAAACTCTGACCACCAGTAAGAATACTGTGCATATTGCTAAACAACTCAAGTTCCATCAAGCCATCGCCAAGTACAAGATATCTAAGGTGAGTGACTACTGACTACAATGATATTCAATAAACTATATATTTTTTCTTTATATTATGAGATTTTTTACTAGAATTTAAATTTGACTGATCTACTGCAAACGTTATATTATGTAGAGTAAACCACCTTGATCTCACTTTACTATCAATTATCGAATTATTTGATAATTTAATCAATTTAATTACCTCAGGAGGATATGAAGAAGTACTCGTACCCTGGGTACTACGAATATAAACCAGTTGTACTTGATGGATTACACTGTGTGAGGTGTAGTACACTGTTTCAGCTGGAGGACGACGGCGAGTATACTATTCCCGAGAGGTCAGCTCAAACTTTCAAAATATCATTTTGAATAACACTTTTGATTTTAATTTAATTTAAACTAGTATAACGGGATTTTTTACTGGTGGAGCTATTAACAAATTTCGGAATAATGTTTGAAAATTTCGTTCAATTTACTCTTAAAATGCTACTCGATATTAAATGTGTCACAACAACCCCAGATGTCTGCACCACAACGGTAAGCTGAGGACGCGCAAGTCACGTGGGTTTAAAGGAGAGATGGAGAGGAGTAGGATATACGACTGTTGTGACGCGCAGGATGGGAGTACTGGGTGCTCGGTGGGCAAGGGTCACGTGTACGACATTGCATTCTTACATAGAGACTGGAGAGGTGAGTTATCAGTACTTACCTTGGTGATTGGTTACTTAGTAATCAGTAGTTACCTTGGTTACTTAGTAATCGGTAGTAAGTTAACCAGGTGACAAAAGCTCAGGAGTCTATTTAAGGAGGTAGTCATGACCCCCCCCCCCCCCTATACTATTTAAGGGGACATACTGATACACAAAAACAGTTTATGATTTGGCCTGGTATATATAACAGACAAAAACAATATGTTAATCAGAAGCGGTTTTGGTGTGTCCGATCCTCTTCAAGTCGTTTCTATTACCTTACTCGGGATTATTATGACCGGGATAAAGTGGCGGGTTTAGGGTAATTTCGCCATATTTTTCCCGAACCACATTTTCACCGGTCGTTAATAAACCCGCCGACTCAGCTTTTAGGGTTCCCAAGGGGTATTGGTGCTCATATTTTAATGGTTGTCTTATATTCACTAAAGAAGACTATTGGGACACTTGTTGTAGGTTTTTCGACTTCATTTGGCTAAAATTGCAAAAAATTCACCTTTTTGCCCAATTCTTGTCATATATCATTATTGTCAAAGTTGATTTAAATAGGCCAATTTTTAATTTCTTAGGTATTGACTATCTCTACATAATGAAATAGGACTCAAAGTAAAAGTAACAGTTAAATTAAAACTCGAATTAATTAAAACGGTCAATAACATGAATCAGTTTCATCAGTCATTTATTCATAATTCTAAACAATGTGAACGATGCATTCTTTCGAAGATTTTCTACAAATTGAGTCATAATGGTTATTTGATACACGTAAACATGTAATGCTAATTCAAAACAACGAATTTGCTAGAGTCTACTTTCAACAATTATTGATAATTCGACTTGTTTCACAAGTTTTAGCAATGCGAAAATTTCTGAACCTGCTTATCTCTAATAAGGAAATTTACATCTGAGACAACATTTTTGAATCTAAAATTGAAAGGTTGGACACCGGTAAAATGGCGACCGGGAAAATGTGGTGGGTTTGAGCAATTTCGCCATATTTTTCCCGAACCATATTTTAACCGGTCGTTAATAAACCCGTCGTAATAATCCCGAGTAAGGTAATCTATTATTTTAGCACTTGATTATGATAAGCTAATGATAAACTCCCAGGCTATGTAAAGACGAAGCGCCGCGAAGTAACACCAAGCGTTTGGGGTCTAGATTGTGAGATGTGTTACACGGCAGGGGGAGTGGAGCTGACGCGTGTCACTGTCGTGGATCTAAACGGGGACACTGCCCTCGATATGCTCATCAAACCTCCCCGCAAAGTTCTGGATTATAACACCCGGTCGGTTTTAGTTAAACGGCATTTTTTAATACACTCCCGTTATTACAAGGAGCATTTGTAATTCTAAAATTAGTTTATATAATGTAGTTTTAGAAGTGTTATATTCAGTAATTGACAAGTTTTCTTATCAGGTTCTCTGGTATTAAAGCCTCAGATCTGGAGAATGTAGAGCACACGCTACAAGACGCGCAGCGTGCAGTTAGCCGTCTCATTTCCTGGGACTGTTTTATTGTTGGTCACAGCTTGGAGAGCGACCTTCATGCACTAAAGGTAGGTGTTTTATGTTACAGTATCGTGTCACGCGCTGCCAAGTTAGTCACGTGTATCACCTGTTGTCATCTTACAGTCACGTGTCGCCATGATGATCACGTGTCCGCTGTCACATGTTGATCTCTTTATTATAACTTGATGGCTTAGTATTATAAATAACCATGGTAACAGATATGTAATATAGCGTAATTACAGCTGATACACAAGAATGTTGTGGATACGTCAGTGGTATATTTTGATGGTGTTTACAAAAGGGGACTAGCAGTGCTTTCTGCAGAAACACTTGGCAGAATCATTCAATCTGACGGTTCGTTCTCTTATCTTTTATCTTATCTTTTATTGTCGACCACTATTATAATACGTCGCGTGTTTTGATTAGCAGTTCTTTAGGTATTAAATATCAATCTATGAATTGTGTGCTTATTAATTAATTAAGTTGTAGTTTGTTTATTGTTTGTTAAAGATTATCACCGATGTGGAATTTGCAGACGACATAGCATAGCATTAATATCTGCAGTTAATAATTTATCAGTATAATGATTAGTCAGTAATTAATTGCCCCTAATTACAGAAGGAGGTCACGACAGCACAGAAGACGCGCTCGCAGCTCTGGATCTAATGAAACACAGACTGAAAGTAGCGGACAACGTTAAACTGTGATATAAACTAACTTTTTTATACTACCCCACTCTATTTAAAACACTACTTGACTAATGTATTGAACTCTACACACTCTTTTTTACTGGGATATCAGTTCAACTTTGGAGGAGAACTCAGTTTTATAATAACTCCACATTTTATGAGCAGACCAATAAATACCTTTTCAGGTTATAGAAAATAAGGACTGATAATTCTTTGTTAACCTTTAAATATAGATTTATTTAGTTCAAGTTTATAACCCAGTTATAATAGAAATTATAGTATTAAATACACGATTCTCTCACGTGCTCACCCTATTTAACGATATTAATTATATTCACTTGACATATATTAATAAATAAAACTTTATAAGATTATGTAAATTGTAGAGAAAGAAATTTAAAGTAACATTGTCAGACAATAGCCCACAGTTCTTATTAATAAGATTTTAATTCAGTTCATAAGACCATTCAGTTAATTAAGTTAATAATATAATAAATATAAGCCCCTAATAACTAGCAAGGTTATTCAATATTCAAGACTCAAATGTTGGCTTGATAATTATCATCTTATCTAAATATATTGTTGAGATTAATGATTATAATTTATATTGCTGAAGATCACTTTTCATATCGAGCTACATTACATTTTATTTGAAATAAGAAAGAGTTTTTTAAATCGAGTAGTGGTGCGATTTGTGAGATGTAGACCTTTTCGGTTCGAAAATGATTTCATGTCACGGTATTGTTTTTGTATTTTAATCTAATTTATAGTAATTGTTAATTTGCTAATGATCAAGGTTTTTACAATCTAATGTGTTTAGCATTACTGAAGCTAGGTTATGATCTCCACTAGTGCTTGATTTGCGAATGGCATGAAAACTTTTTCAAGACCGTTGTGTTCAATAATTATGAAATTTATGACTGAGGTTTGGTACGCATCCGAATGCCTGTTCATCTGCTTTTCATGGCCTTTTGTCGAGTACAGTCCTCCATCCGGGTCAAGCTACGAGTGGGGCGGACACACTTTCGAGAAAATACAGATGTAAACGTAGCGCGCGGCGTCGTTATCTGTGATAAAATCACAGTACTGTCTCGTCGGAGAAACTGTTTGCTGTTAGCACTTATTACTGCGCAGTAGAATAGTTGTAGATTTGACTGGCACAGATTGTAACGTAGTCCTGGTCCTTCTATTCTGGATCTCTACTAAATTTTAAATTATCTAGTGAAAAGGCCTTATACCTTGAGGGTATAATATTCATTTCAACCGATACATTTTCCCGCGCTCAGTCCGGATCCCCTTCGATAACAAAGGGATAAAACGCGTCCCAGATAATTAATATTAGCCGACAACTGTCGTGGTAACATGTGACAGCTAGGCTAGTTTAACTCGAATTGTTCAGGGCCAGGGGTTGATCATTGGTGTTGCGGTACGAATGTGTCGTTCGGTTGCGAAACTACCAAAACTCAATTACTAATTAGCCACTAACTACACGTTATATCAAGTTACGCGCTAGTAAGTTAATTTGTTAGGGGTCGTTCACATATTACCTAATCAGCCGAGGGGGATGGGGGGGGGGGGGGGTTTCCGAATGCTTACGGTTGATTACGGGGGAGGGGGGGGGGGGGGTTTCGGCCGTTGATTACGTAATCGAAATTTTCTTTTTTACCCTCCAGACAGACCAGAATAATAACAATTTGACAATATTTTAATTCAAATTCCACTCAATTTTACTCTGATAGTGATAAAATTTAGAAATTGATCGAATATCCGGCTATAATATAAGTAATAGTAAGTAGTTTAGAAGGTGCTTGGCCGGATATCATAACAATGATTTCGGCTCATCATGATAGCATGATCAGGGTAGCATGAAACGTAGAGAAAAGTGTTTTCTAGGAAAAAAGTCAAGGGGGGGAGGGGGGGTCAGGCCATGATTACGTAATATTGATGTCAGGCGGGGGGGGGGGGGGGGGTGGGTCTTGATTACGGTTGATTACGGAAGGGGGGAGGGGGGTAAAAATTGCTAAAATATTGATTACGTAATATGTGAACGACCCCTTAAGTCGGTTCATTGAAACAACAATCTCTCTCGAGTCAAACAGAAATTAAACCCCAATCAATTAAAGCGCACAACACACATTTTAAACATCCAAGTTAAAACATGTTAAAAGAATCCACTTCACTTCGACAAGTCCTCAGCATCTGAACTGTGCCCGCAGTTACAAATACTGAAAGTCATCATGTTAGGAAGAGCTGAGTCCGTTACGAGACTTTCACCCACAAACTCAGATTCTGCTGCCACTTCAAACCCGTCACATACCCTGCTGTCTGAAACATTAGAGTCATTATTTCGTGGGCATTCAAAAAGATGGATTGGACCAAAATGTGTTTGATGTTATCTGATAGCAAAACCGGAATATATTCGATTTTCTCTCAGCAAAACATTTTCTCCGGGATAGAAACGGGATATAGTAAAAAATGGGTTGACTTACCTTTGAGTGTACATTTATTCCTTATTATAACATCTTTACAGACCACGCAATTAGTCAGAGACACGTTATCCTCTATTCTCACATCGTCCATTATCACTGAGTCCACTATTTTACAGTGTGGTCCGATCTGCAGAAGAAAATAAAACTAGATTTTCAACAAATACGTAATATCTAATATATTTCGCCAGGATAAATAACTAGTAAAATTGAGAAGTCAAGGAGGCATATGTGATCTTTGAAATGGTGATCTGATTACTTACTTCAACCCTGTTCCCAATAAAGCTCCTCTTAAAGCTGCACTTCTCTGCTATCCTGACAGAGTTGCCTATTCGGGAACACTTGCCCACCTGAAAAAGTAGGTATTTACTTTTAAATAAATGGGGGAGGGGAGGTGAGCTAGCTAGCTCAAGCTAAAGTCTAATGATTTTCCCGAAGTCTAATGATTTTCCCGAAAAATTTTGTACACGCAGTTGCGTGGAAATGCCATTCTTTGCATCAACAAATAAAGTTTCTTCTATTTGCAAAGTATTTAAGTGGGACAGAGTAATTAAGAGTCGCCAAGGGATCAATACTAATAGTGGGTGAAATCATAGCTCACCCCTGTTGTGGACTCGACAACTGAGGCGGAGTGGATTAAGTCACGAAATATTTACTGTAATCGGTCACCATCTTCACAAACTCTGAACTCAACTGACAAATTCTCAACATGGGAAAGCTCAAAGCTACAATTTCTATCCGATTAGTATTTTGCATTAAGTAGTTGTAAAGCAATAAAACATTCTCCTCCCAGATCGTGTCTGCACTATGACATGCAACACTCGATATATGATATAATAATCGACTGGTTGCGTCATCGGTCACGTCTTGCTTTGGGTGTGTTCATTAATAATCCTACACTGATGTAGAAAATTATCGCGTGAAGGTCATGTACGTCAAGTTAAGCTAGACATTTCAACCGCGCGCGCAATAATCACAACGACGCGTGTGCCGTGAATTTAAGTAGTAGACCCTTTATTTGTATTCACAGGAATTGAAGGCAAAGCAGCACAATAACAACATTTATTCTATTCCGAGATCTAATCATGCAGATGTTATCATCGATTAGTTATTACGATCAACAACAGATTAAAGCCATGTTTACGCAGTCGTTTTTACCGAAACAATGTAATGTATCAGCATACAATATGAAAAGGAGAGTTCAAGTAACATAACTTTAGTGTTTATTGTTGCTTACGGTAGTGTGTGTAACTGTAAAGCTGCTATTTTATAAGTACCTGTGTCATTTTGCTTATGTCACACGTGGTCATATCATTTTGTGGTATCACATCGTCCATATTTTCAGATACCTGTCGATAAGAAAGGTTAGCTACTAAAAAATAAAAAATGCTTATATTCTTAATTAAATAATTCTTAAAAATTTGTATGATACGAACTATTTATACAATAATATAATAGTCATGTAAAAGTCAAAGAATTAACCAATTTTATAAATTCTGCTAAACATTGAGGTGGTGATGAGGTGTCAAAGTAAATTACTTGTTATATAACTTAAAAGGACCACCTACACATATAGGCTACCTATGGATACGTCAACCTTGACAACATCAGTGAACAAACAAAATACATTATAAATCTATAAACTATTTTAAGGTAATAGATAGGTAAAAAACAGGAAATAATTGTAATAAAAGGTAATAATAAGAATGTAAACTCACAGCTTTGTTATATTTAATGTAGTTGTGCAGCTGGTTGACTCGCACAGTAAAGTCTTGTGTTTTATGAACGTAACAACCCACACTCTCCACCTCGCTTAGTACCTCGAAATACTCCTCCGGGTGCTTGCAGTCCTCGTCTGAGTTTATAAATAGATTTATAAACATGCTTATAAACATAAGTATTATTGGTTTAAATATCTAGTGGGTGAAACTCAAGTTTTGTGTATGAAATTACGATTTTGATTTTAACGTTTATTGTCCTTCCCTTCCGATGTTCGATTTTTTTGATTTGAAACTTTTACAAAATAGCAAATATACAAATGTACAGCAAATCGAACAAACATATAAAATGGGCCGAAATGTATAAATGCTATAAAGTGTGGGTCAGTGAAACAAGTACAGAGGACAACTTTCAAAACAGGAGTTTTATGGCCGCCCAAAGTCTCAATAACATCACCTCCACCTAGTAATAAAATTATGAAATATGAAAAGTGTGAAACAATCAAATAATAAAATATTCAATATATATAGTTGTCTTTTAAATACAGATAACGTCTGAAAATTCTTAAAATAATCATCACTCCTTCATATACTGCAACTGATCAGTGTCCAAGAGACATGAATAACTCATGATGACTTCTTATCACGGCTACATACCTTCCCGTACCGGATGTAGTGGTCGAGATGAGTCTGTTCAGCCCTCTTTTTCTTCAGGTCAGTGACCAGATGCTTCCTTGTTGCTCGTTCTTCGCTGGATCTGTCTGGACATATCCATACATCTTTGTGCGTCTCCCTCAGTCTCCCTGTTTTCATCAGAATCTGATGAACCGCTGTTGAGCTTGGGACGGTGATCTTGACTGGTCGGATAGCCGTACTACCTGGCCTCTTCCAACCGACTCTAGTCGCTTCGAAGTGAGGTTTCTCCCCGATCTCCTCCAAAACTGCGGTAACTAGCGCTGGAAGCTGTTCTTCCTCCTCTTCTTTCAGCCCAAACACGATCAGGTTCTTGCTCCTGTCCTCCTCTGCAGCCACACTCTTCATCACCTTCTTCAGGATTTTACTGTTACAGACCGTACCACTTGCACTGTTCTGTTGAACAGCTGCACTATAGTTCTGAATCCCAGACTCCACCGTTGTTTGTACTGTCTCCTCAACAGACGTCTTAAGCAACTGTAGTTGTTCGTCCTTCTGCATCAGCAGCTGGCCCTGCAGTCTGATCACCTTTTCTTTGTCTGCTAGTGCTTCCGTCTTGAAGCACTCGATGATCTCCTTCAAGAGATACATCTGACTACTCGCCGACGAACAAGGTCCACTGCATCCACAATCCAGCCAGACAGAGTCAGTTTATCCTTAGTCTTGATCTTTTCACGACTTTCGTAGTCAATTTCACGGTAGTCAATATGCAGGTCTTTTTCTAACTGAATGGACCAGCGTGCAACACAGCCTTCCACATCTTCCTGTTGATCATAGTTGAACTCCTTAATCAACTCCTGGGATCGGGTCAAAGTTGGGTCAACCGCCATAGTGTACTTTACTTGTATAGTAATGTACAAGTACACACGCAAAGGTAAACTACGCGGTAGCAGCAAACTGAACTTATTGCAAATTTACAAAAGATAAGAGAGCTCGATATTTGCAACACAAGCTACACTGATTACACAATTACAAAACATCTAAGTCCTGAGTAAACATTTTGCTAAAAATGTGTATTTTCGAATCCATTTGTGAGCTAAATATAGCAGAGAAATAAGGTCACTTTTTGGTTAATTGTTTTGTGTTTTCAACAGGTTGCCGTGCTGATTTTAGCAAGTTTAAAATGTAGGTAGTGATGACAATCCTCCAGGGTAATTTTTTGAGAAAATCCACCACGTTATGACTTATACAGTATACATGAAACATTAGGTTGCCGACTAGTTGTGATCGTTTTATTTTTATAGCAGCTCTTATAAATCTAGTAGAGCATTTTTCAGAAACAAAATAAGAAACTCGCTAAAACGTAAAGTATAAAAGTTATTTTAAAATAGTAAATAATTAATAAGTTGATTAGTTAGTAATGATCGATTATTTGCTAAAACTCTTGCCCCCAGTTACCTGTATCCTGTTTTTTAGAGTAAAGTCTATCTGCGAATACAGTGTAACTAGTGTTAACAATCTGTTTTATCTGTTTTCTCACTAGAAGAGGTAATAACTCACACCTCATCATTGATACGTCTCTAAAATGAATGATTAATTAATTACTTTTTAATACCATACATTAGGAAGGAGAATTGTTCTTAAAGTAATAAAGAGAGTAAAGAATCAGTTTTCATATGGTTTGTACTATCAGGCTAAACTAAATTAAATGAACTAACAGGTTGTTCATCAGTATATTAACTAAAATGAACTAACAGGTTGTTCTTCAGTATATTAACTAACTAAAATGAACTAACAGGTTGTTCTTCAGTATACTTAACTAACTAAAATGAACTAACAAGCTGTTTTTTAGTATATCAACTAAAATGAACTAACTAAAATGAATTAACTAAAATGAACTAACGGATGGTTGTCCAGGATGTTGAGAGTAGTCCTGCTGACTAAATATAAATGTGAGTCTAGTAGGTTAGTGTGTAACCGCATGTGAGGGAACCTCGCTAACTGTCCTCGCTTGATACTGATCTGACAATTATAACATAAGATTACTACTGTATATTATTCACTATTACATTACTAACTTTGCTAGTGATCATAACTTTACTAGTTATGATGACTCTAATAATATAGTCATCAAAGTTTTATAATAACTTCTTATTTGTTCATTAAATGTTTATCAAGTACACGGAATTAACCTCTTCTTCGATATCCTTCTCATTTGCAATGTATAAGATTCTGTCGTCTTCAGGATCTAATCCAATAAAATCTCTATCATCTGAAAAAATGTTCACTTGTTAGCTTGTTGTTGGGCATACTTGAGTTATACTTTAGTTCACTTTTACACATTTGCTCACATCACTCACAGTCAGCCGCTTTGACATGGTTAACCACCTTCCTTGTGTTGTTGGTTAATCATATGAGCGGGATATAAATACCTCATTTCATTTCATTTCATTTCATTTCATTTCATTTCATTTCATTTCATTTCATTTCATTTCATTTCATTTCATTTCATTTCATTTCATGTTAAGTCGATTTTTGGGAAACAGATATGCCCAATATAGGCGTGGCCATCGGTGGGCGCTTGTGTAGTTGTGTCCGCGAAGCTTCAAAAGCTCACCCACGAGTCCTATTTTTTTGGTCTACTGTTATCTCGAAATTAATTTTCACATAAAATTCAGGCTGAACCACATTAATTAAAAGTGTTAAAGTATGTGGTATCAGACTAATGTAATTTTTCCAAGAATATTAATTAATAAATATGTGTCATGTAAAGTAAGTGTCTTATATTAAAGTTAAGTAAGGGTAAAAGTAAGCATTAAAGTAAAGTAAGTGTAAAAGTAAGTATTAAAGTAAAGTAAGTGTAAAAGTAAGTATTAAAGTAAAGTAAGTGTAAAAGTAAGTATTAAAGTAACGCAGTGTCTAGTAATGAAACCTTTCTTGTTGCGTTTCCTCCTCCCATCAGCACTAGGGGGTGAGTAGCGGGGCGCTATAAGCGCAGTGAGCGCTGCGTTGTTAGCGCGGTGCACGTTAGCCAGCTCAGACAGGGAGACTTTCGTTATCAGATCACTACTTATCACCAACAAATCAGACTGGAATAATTAAGTAATTAAATTATCATCGCTTACTTGAAATAACAAAACTCACAACTTGAAAATGCACTTTGATTGTCATTACTTGAAATAACAACGTGCATACCTTTCATTTTCAACTTGGAACAATCAGCAGATACAAATAACTTATTAATTAAAATAATTAATTAAATATGCATTGTTTTATAAACCTTAGTTTTAGGAGCTACGAGTCTGAGGGAGTCAGCGGTTCCAAGATCAGCATCATCCTCAATACACACATACTCAATATGAACATCCTGCTCCAACTTCCTGATACAACTCGTTAGATATCCTTCTATCTTATCTTTAGCCGCACGCCGCACTACTACAAATATCTCTGAAATTTAATTAGTATTTATTTCTAACTTCACTACAATTGTCTCTTAAAACATTACTAGGTCTTATCTTATTTTTTAAGTATAAGATTAATTATCATAGATTAGCATGGAAATTAGAACATTACATATATAATAATGTAAGTTCTATGTATCTAAATTATTTGTAAACAATTTGTAAACTAATCTAGTACCTTCAAACTTGTGAGAGATGAGATAGTTAACTGAGAACCATATCATAGGAGTATTAGCAACTGGTAACATGCACTTTGGAGTATCACTGGACAGTTCGAACATCTGCGAACCACAACTGAAAAATTATTAATATCAGTATTAATAATGTAAATACAGTTAAAATAACACTTATTCACGTGACGTCATGTTCTCCCTAACGTGACGTCACACTATTCCTCAGTCCTCATGTGACTTTACACTCACCCTGCTGCCATGACGACTGGTGTAAACTCCGGAGACCGTCTCCTCCTTACTCGGAAGTTTCCGGAACTGAGTCCGGACACTGTGGTCTCCTCTCCGTCGGACTTATCATCTGAAGTAACGAACATTGTTACTACAATAATAATTAATAATATTGCAGATCTAGGACAGGCATTTTAATTAATTGCATACGCTAAACACGCGGAAAAATTATATTATTAATTAATTCACTAATTGTATAAACAAAACTTACCATCTAAACCAGGTGATAGAACAGTTGGTGGCATACTTTGTATCCTAATATTATCTAAGAGATATGATTTACTAGATCAACAACCTTTTTTTACTGCACTTTAAGCCATAATATTCGACCTAAATTTAAGGTATCACACCTGTTGTTAAGATACAACTATTTGAATCGTGGCTGAATGCATGTAATAACGATAAATAAGATCTTAAATATATATTTTTCAAGATTGAGAACAAGTAAATTACAACTGAATTTGTGTATGAGAACTGAATATAAAACATCATTCTTAAATATTCAAATCAAGTAATTTATATCCAATATCTTCTAACTGCAACTCCCTGATACTTCTGAAACTTAACACAGACGTTTAAAAATTTTGACTAACGGAAACCACCTGAAACTAATAAAGTTAACATGAAAATAGCCAGACTCAATTGTATATCAGCCTCCGGAGGACCAGAGACTTCTGAGTAGGTAGAAACGAAATATCAGGGGATTTGCAAGTAGCGAGAATTTAAAGTGGTTAACTGATTGACATATTTGAGATGCCAAATACAAATCTCATATTTCAACCAGTGATAACTTATGTAATAGATAAAATCAAATCAAATACAAATGGCATTGTATATAGTGATATGTTTATGACAATAAGCTTAATTTCTCGAATATTTAATAATATACTGAAGAAAGTTGGCATATTTCCAACTTCAGCTTAATGAATTAACCGTAAAAACTAAACCTTTAAGAAGTAACGGTATTAAATGCCAAACAATTATATGATTTAAAAGATAAATTCGAGATTTTAAAGTTTAAAAATAAAATTACTTATAAAGTTCTGGTAGGTTTAATAGGTTCACAAATAACACTTAAAAACAAAGTAAGTTTGTGAACAATACTACTTCCCGGGAGTCTATCTAGCGAATACTCAGTCTCTTCAAAGAGCGCGCAGACAGAGAGATCCGCGCGCACGCGCAGTGTGAGGTTGTGGCGCTTCTCCGGACATTGCGCGAAGATGTGGTCGCTGTGCTGGTCTGTGGAAAGAATACCCCACATGTTGTGTGTACATGTCATACGTAACATTAGTAATGTGTAGGAGCGTATCTACAGGGAGATATTGTTAGTGTTTATTGTAGTAACTTTAGTTACCTTAGTAACTGTAGTTACCATAGTTACCTTAGTAACCATAGTAACTTTAGTTACCATGGAGATTACTTTAAGTACACGTAACAGTAAAATAAACTTTATATATAATAGTACATATTAACAGAGTTTGTTGTGTTATGAATTTGACAACTACAACAAAAACCACATAAAATGACGTAATACCTCTCGTCTGATAGCAGATATAGCCATGTTTGAGTCAGGTCCAGTGTACACAGAACCCCTCTGACTGCTGTCTATCTGGTAACTGTTCTTAAACCCTGTAGTACCTGACAGAGGAACAGTATCAACACACAACAAATACTCTTAAACCCTGTAGTACCTGACAGAGGAACAGTATCAACACACAATAAATACTCTTAAACCCTGTAGTACCTGACAGAGGAACAGTATCAACACACAACAAATACTCTTAAACCCTGTAGTACCTGACAGAGGAACAGTATCAACACACAACAAATACTCTTAAACCCTGTAGTACCTGACAGAGGAACAGTATCAACACACAACAAATACTCTTAAACCCTGTAGTACCTGACAGAGGAACAGTATCAACACACAACAAATACTCTTAAACCCTGTAGTACCTGACAGAGGAACAGTATCAACACACAATAAATATTCTTAAACCCTGTAGTACCTGACAGAGGAACAGTATCAACACACAACAAATACTCTTAAACCCTGTAGTACCTGACAGAGGAACAGTATCAACACACAACAAATACTCTTAAACCCTGTAGTACCTGACAGAGGAACAGTATCAACACACAATAAATACTCTTAAACCCTGTAGTACCTGACAGAGGAACAGTATCAACACACAACAAATACTCTTAAACCCTGTAGTACCTGACAGAGGAACAGTATCAACAAACAACAAATACTCTTAAACCCTGTAGTACCTGACAAAGGAACAGTATTAACACACATCAAATACTCTTAAACCCTGTAGTACCTGACAGAGGAACAGTATCAACACACAATAAATACTCTTATAGAATATTATACAGGGTGCAGACTGCAGAGAGCAGGTGTACCACATAAAATGATGGCTTGTTTTCTCGACACATGCACGTCACCTGGTACCTTAATTTTAAAATACGAAAGTTAAGAAACCCCCTATTTTTGTTACTATTCCAACTTACCTACAGTAACTCTCATCAAGACTTTAGTACTGGTAATAATCCTAGATACAGGTGACAGGGTAATATTGAGACTGGACTCATGAGGGGTAGAACAGGGCCCACATCTTATAGTTACTTTGGGTTCCTGAAATTAGTTATCATAATGTACACTGTACAGGTTGTAATGTACTGGTCGTAATGTATTGGTTGTAATGTACTGGTCGTATTGTATTGGTCGTATTGTACTGGTCGTTAAATATACTAGTCGAAATGATGAAACCCAGCTTGAAATGATAACCTAACAAAGTATACCTGAATCTCCTTAGCAAGCTCATCTAACTGCTGTATGATCTGGCGTCTCTTTGTCTTATGCTGGTGGTGCAGTATCTCAAAGTTCAGCAGTTGTGGCAACTTAGGTTTATTATTGACAATCCCCAACATCATGGTCGAGTACCCACCTCCCTCTGTTGACGAGTTCTCCTCCTCGTGACTTATCTTATGTCTCTTGTGTAAATGGTGCTGTAGACACAGCTCGTCTACTCGCAGTATAGGGGAGGGTTGGAGGAGGCGAGCACGGGTGAGTTCACCTTCAATCTGACGGCGCAAGTACAACTTGGAACCTTCACTCTGTCTTACTGTGATCATGTTATCAACTGACTTGCATACCACAGAGGGGTGATTGTAAATTCCCATAGCTACAGTTACGCAGTCTAGTGTCATGAGATGGTACAGTTCTTTAGAGAATAAAGAGTAGAGTATTGCTAAGATTTGCGCGTGAGGAAAAGGGATATGTTGCCAGTAAGAGGGAACAGGAAACCCAGCTCTCTCGCTACAGTCCTCTGATACCGTCAGGTAAGATAACATTTGTACTGATGGGTCAGGGGTAACCTTCAGAGGGTAACCTACTGGATCATCATTCCTAGTTACCTCAAACAACGCCTCCTCGTTGTAGTATTTCTCTGAACCGCAACTCCTGTAACTAGCATCTCCCAAGATGTACGACCCTTGCTTCTTCATCTTGAATCTGGAGCTCATCTTAGCTAGAGCCGTGTGGAACTGGCCCACATTACCCTTACTCATGTTATCTACTCCTAACTGGAGGATGTGCGCGGCTGATTTGAGTCCGACCTTCTTAGCCACAACTACTTGTGAAGTGTTGTAAGGGGGGCGGGGTTGCTGGACTGGGTCCAACATTAGGAACTGTCTCTGTTGGAGTAGTGCCATTAGATCTGATAACACGCACACCTCTGCGTAGGAGTGGTTCAGATCCCGCAACACATCCGTCCAGGGGTGCTGCTGAGGCTCCTTCTCTTCTCCTACCTCCTTATCTATAACAAACTTATAGTCTATCTTCCCTGCTCTGTCCAGTAGTTTCTCTCCTATACTCACTGACTGCACAAACTGCTCCTCCCCATTCGGACCAAACTCCTGGATCCTGTTTTCTAGGTATGGTTCTACAGGGACTAGGAGGTCGTTTAGTTTGGTTTCTATGTCATCAGCATTCGCCATTTCTACCTCATCTAGAGTACCGTTACTTGCAAACTGTTCATCTCGCATATCTTAGCTCCTGTAGTGTGAGGAATTTTGTAGAAGTGAAAAGCAGTAACAACAATATACAGTGAAAATTGTGGCAAATTAATGAAAATTGAAATTACTTTTGAAATTGCGGGTGAAGACAGTAACTACGACATTTTACATGAACTATTTTTAAAATAGCGAGTTTTTGACACAAATAAAAACATTATAATTGCCCAACGAAGATATAAAGCTATATCGATCAACTTTTTTTCTAAGCCGAGATGGACCACAAGATGATACCTTGTGGCTTAGAAAAATCGCCAGATCATTGACTTTCCATGAATAAGTAATAATAAAATATAAACAAAGTCTGAGAAAGTTCTAAAGAATCGTACCGAGATCAATTATCAAACCATTTAAAGTAATCTAGAAGTTTATATTAATCTTTTCTGCAAGGGTGGTCGTCTAATTCAAGATTTATTAAAAAAACATTGGTTTTTGAGATTTTAGAAGTGTAAAAGAACATCAGAAATATTTCGGGGTAAGAGTCAGGTATCTAGACATTCCAGACATTCCAAGGTTTGTTTTGAAATTTGAAATTTTTGAGCTCTACAGTCGAACCCAATCTTTGCATGTGATACACAATAATATAAGAAATATATCAACTCAGCTAAAAGAAAAAAAAAACATACAATGGTCAATCAGCAAGTTTATAGTTTGTACAAATAATGTCTGTTCGTTCGTGTTTTACCGCACCATACCGCAACTATTCCCACTAAAATCAATCTGGTAGCTCCACATTACTGAATGTGACTTTGGGCAGGGAATTTTTGGAATCACTGGTGTTGAGAATAGGAATATCTACAGGTATAGCAGTTTCTTGGGCAGAGTAACCGTAAATATATGAGATATTCCCATAGACTCTGATAGAAGGAAACTTCTTTAGAAGGAACAGACAAAACTCCTCTCTAATCCCAAACCACCACGGATTCCCACCTTTCTGGTAGAATGTAGATACCACCAAACTGCCCATCCCAAGGTGGTAAGGCAGGAATATGGCGATGTAGCTGTGACTCTCTGCCTCTGGGTTATCAATCTTAGTGACTAGCAGACCAAGAAAGAGAATGAGGGAGAAGTTAGCGAGGGAGTAGAGACAGGAGGCGGCAGTGCGTGGGGTGCGGAGTGAGGGGAGGATGTCGTTGGTGCACAGTAACACAGCAGTCAGGGCGATGTAGTAAATCACCGCTATACTGCAGATACCCAGTAGGATCCACAGGGGTATGAGGATGATCTGCCAACTCCACAACACCAACTTCTCCAACCTGAGAACCAGGAGGACGAACTGCAGCATGTTGACGGAGAAGAGGAGCTCTAGATCCAGTGGGCGCTCCTTCTTCCAGCCCCACCCACATATAATGATGGAAAGCACGGAGAGGAGGAAGAGAGGCATGAACACAAGGTACCAGTTCATGTGGGGAGGCGTGAACGAGAGCTTATAACAGAGACATGCCTCAAATGAGAAGAGGAGCATTTGGAGGGAGGTGGAGAGCAACATAGCCTGGAAATCAGCTACTGTGCCCATATCGTGCACCACATCCTGGGGAGGTTTATATAATCACATTATTATTATGTCAACAGAATCACGTTATAACTGTACAAAAAAATAATTACCCTAGTAATTTGAAAAGTTTATACTTTTTGTAGTGAAATGATAAGCACTAAGCGATAAAATTCACTGACCTGTTGCAAGATGTATGATCGAATTCCCATAGTGCAGCCAGCTATCATGATAAATTTCCACATCCAGAGAGGAATGAAGACCCCCCAATAGGAACAGTCCATCACCCCTTCCAGTTTAAAAGAGAGGAGAACTCCAAAGACGAGGAGAGAAGCGAACACGAGGAACCTTCCTGGGTGAAACTCCTGGAATAGGTGCTTGCAGTCCACCATCCTGACTAATGGTTAATTAATTCGTTTATTTAATTACGCATCACTTAGAAATTCAGGCATTCCTACCTCCAGGAAACTATATAATTTAATGACATGATATTGATAAACTGAAAACATATATCATTTTCAATCGACATTATTTTTACTAGAGTTGAAGGTGAGCATATAATAGTTAATCACAAGAAAACTTATCTATGATTCGATATAGAATTCATCAGTTCATAAGTTTATTGTCTAGTTTATACATTTACAAAAACTATTCGATTATAAACAAATTGGGTGACTATTCAAAAGTAGATACAATAAATACCAAAATCTCAGAAAGTCTAAAAACATAATTTGCAACAATCAAAGCAGAGAACATATTAATATCAATATTTTTCTTTAGGTCAATACTTTCCAATCAGAAAGCTATACATATAATATTCTGACACATAATTCAATCCAACGACTGTGCTTGAGATAACCAAAACATGATCCAAATAATTCAAGGAACATTATGTAATTGTTAAACATCTAACAGTGTGTGATCGTAAACGATCTTAATTTATCTTGTAAACTTATGAAACGCATCTACATGTATTGTCTGAGCAAAGGAAAACCTCTGAAAACCCAATAGGGGGATAATACTACCCCTCCCCCTTAACTTAACGAATGAACAAGTTGTCACGAGTTGTTGTCCAGTTCGGTTAGCTTAACACACATGATGACTGTGAATCCTGGAAGTAATTTTCAAGGTTAATGTCTGAGAATTATCATGTGTAATTTCATAACTTTCACCAAAATATTTTGAAAAAATGGTGAGTGGTGAAAGTAAGAAACAGTAATGCCAAAGTGAATTGCAATTGGCATTACTGTTATTAAATAATCTTTGAAATCGACTCTTTCATGCTTCCACAACTACTTACCAATGAACATTAAATAGTTAAATAATGGTAGTGACATTACGGTTAGATAATCAAAACAACTCAGACAGCTACAGGGGAATGTGTGAGAACATTTTATAACACTCTTTACCTTTAATTTCAATAGGGAAGTATTGCGTTGATTTAAAAGGTTGAAAAATACTGCGTTATACTGCCCTAAGGTTATTGGTTGAAAATTTTTGGAATTTAAAAAAGACACAAACACATGCAAGACATGATCAAAAGTTTATATGTGTAGATGAATACAAGACATGACATAAGTAAGTCTAAACACATTTCAACAAGTACAGTATAACTATTGATAACCTTGTTTAATTTCTTATATATGAGTTGAAACCTGACGCTGTGGTTGTGAGCGTCTATTAGCCTCAAAAGAAGAGGGCTGCTGTTCACTGAGTGAGGCCTGCAATGCTCGTGCCAATGCTTCATCTTCCTCAGTTGCCAGCGCACGAGCCAGTGCCTCATCTTGGGAGATTTGCTGAGAGGAGCTGGCAATGGGTGCACTGAAAAATATTGATGTCATGGTCTCCTCCATTTCTTATCTTAACACAAATTCGTATCATGATCTACTGTTTTTTTTGAGGTAGATGAAGAACTCAATGATAGTACAGCATAATGTTCATAATATGCATTATGCACATGTTATAAATGTACTCGACTACAGAAACAGAATAGCAGGTCTAAAATTCGAATTGGTTACCTATTGGTAGCAGGCTTTGGTTTTGGTTTTGGTTTTGGTTTAGCTGTTTCCTGTTTTCTTGCTAGAGGATGAACAAAACCTTTACAGGAATGATCTTGCTCAAACCGATGTGCTAAACAAAAGTTTAATTTGCAATTCTTGCAGTTGACTGGTATAGCTTCTTTTTTCTTGCAACCCTGTTTATTGCATCGATTTGGGTACGTTTTGACCTTTGGAACTTTACTGCAGTTGTTTTCAATATGTGAGTTCACCTGAGTTAAATATAATATATTAATAATTGTATTCTATTCAAATGTCACTGGGTACACATGGTAATTTTGATATCACTGATAATGAGCCATTGTAAACACACCTTGATATTAGGATCATCACCAGGCTTCACAGGGATAATCTCTCCACATTTTGGACAAACAGGCACTACTCGATCTACTCGATACTGCTCAGGACAACTGTGGTCTTTATACTCTCGATGATCTTGACAGAAGATCTTTGAACATAGATCACATTTGTAAGGGAGAAAATCCAATCTGTTACATTCATTGTTTGAGCAGGACTCTCCAAGATGGGGTAGTTCCATTTCAAGTTAGCACTACAAACAGAGGATGTTTATTGAGATGATATAATATGTTAATTGGAATGTCTTGGATTGAAATGGGAAATTGTTAGAGAAAAACAAATTTTTTTTTACGGTACCACAAAACAATCAATACATAATTATATTCATAAATAAATTCAAATTTGAATTTCAACAATATTATATACAGCCCGCCGCGCACACAGTCACACATTGTTGAGAAATCCTTAGGTGCGGCTGTAAGTGCCGCGCGCAGGGTCTATTCAATTGTTATCTTACAATTACATGTTCCATTTATTAATTACTAAAGCTAAAATTTCAGAATCAGAAGGAGGACAAAAAGTCATACACCAAATGGGCATTATATTTTATGAATTGTTTTACATCTTTTTATTCTGTAAAAATGTGCTAAAATTAAATTTCTTGTTTCATTGAAATTTCTTGTTTCATTGAGAATAATTTTTAAAGGTTTGCAGTTTACTACAAACTGACCCGGAGTAGGCTCTTGACATTTTAGAACTCACTGTAGTTCAGAATGCTTTTTAACATTGTAATGAACAAACTTATATACTTACATACCATTTTACAGACATTTTAAACTATTAATTTATTCAATATTTAACTTATTCTTCTGATGTTGTTTAAAACTTTAAAACTTTCATTAGTAGTTCCATACCTCTGGGGTTTCAACTTTTATATTTTAGACTTAGATAGGGTGGAGATTGTTCTAACCAATATTTACCCTTTAGCAAGATCACCCTGAACTCTGTGGTGAGTAGAGTGTTACACGTTGTAACTGCGATTAGCTTTTCCTAGTAATTTCACAGTTAATCTTTTTGGTTAGATATGAGCTATTATTGATATTACTAATTGCATTTATTCTATATATATATGTACATACATATGTATTGCATTGCAAAATATGTATGTTTCAAATAGATACCAACCATCAAGAACCACATCATGGTTTCATTGCATACTGCAGAGCAATAAACATACACTAGATCATTAATTTTTTCCGATTAATATATTATTACAACATATAATATTATTGGGGTGCAAATCTTCCGCATTGTTAGCTAATTATAACAAAAACTCACATCCACCTGTAGAAGAGTCTAACTCTTAAAATGCCTATTTTATAATTTTACACATGAGCAATGAGCATATTGCATAATCTGGAGGAAAACTTTTGTGGGGGTACCACTTACAAATACCTAACTATCTCAGAAATTGTGGCCATTTAATAAAAACATTATTTTTAAAAATCCTAACATTATTTTTTAATCACCCTAGATCATAGAATATGATAATCCATTGAAAAATCAGTGGGCACTCGAAGTTTTGAAATTTAGATGGGGTTGTCAATGGATATTGTTTCAGTTAGAGTTAGAGTTATTGTAAACTGTAGGGGTTGAGATGTTACACAGAATAAGACTCGTTAAAACTCAGAAAATCAAAAATCTTGAAAATTAAAATTAGAATTATAATTCAATCAAATCTCAAGCTACAACTAGTTACATAAAAAATTCAGAATTGTACATTTTTACGAAAAAATGCTTTAAAAGATTTAAAAGAAAAAGATAAAACAGAAAAGATAAATAATAATATATGGTGAACCAAATTTTTTTGATACGTGATAGTAGCCCTTCAAGCAACTTAGTTATCAAAAACAAAACTTTAAGGTGAAGAGAGAGCCCTTTTGAGATGGACCATGATTGACAGATGGTCTGGGATGAAGATGGCCTCCCAGCACAGTTCCCCAACACATCGGCGGAGAGACCCGATATTATAGTTTGGTCGGACACAGGAAATATTGTGATTTTAGTAGAGTTGATGGTTGGCAATGAGAGTAACCAAGTAGAACTTAAACAAGCGTGTTATAACAAAGAGCTTATTCCTGGGCATCATGGCAGTGGGTGGAAAGCTCTTTTCATTTTCCGTTAGAGGTTGGGTGTAGAGGCTTGTGGCATCATACCTTACCAGCCCTATTTTGGTGTGACTAAGAGAGTGAAGAAAGCAGTGTCCTCAAGTGTTCCTATGCAATTTGGTTAGCAAGAGAAAAAAATAAGTGGAGTCCCTGTTACAAAATCCTACAAAGACCCACGGTTCTACCATCAACTGAGTGGGCTGACTGTTGGGCCCTTAAAACATGTTTAAAGCTACACTTGAAATCTCAATACGTTTTCATAAAATAGATGCTATGAACATCTATCAGATGTCTGTTTTTGCCAATAAATTTTGACGAAATATCTCCTGAAATGGATACATACCAGCCATGTTGGGCCGCAACCGCCATTATTTTGCCCAATACAGCTCTCATGTGATAGGGAATAGCACCCTTGGAAAAAGCAGTAGTAATCCAGGGGTATCCCTCAACGTTTATTTCTAGGTTCGAGTCTGGTAAATTTACCTCCTTTTGAACACCAAACGGATAGAACTGGTAGATACAATCCCTCAATGGGACACCAACATCAATGGGAAAATCAAGTAGCCGAAGCGTATTCAAGTAGGTCAATGACAAGCAAGCATATTTACACTTCATTGGGAATGGATCTTTCCGAAAGAGAATAGAGGCTTTATCAATCAAGCTACGGCTTATGTCAATTGCGTATAGAGGAGTGTATCCACTTTGCCCAAAAACTTCCATAATCCTTGAAATACTTCTTCGTGCAACAATGGCTTCACTATCCGAGGAATGCCAAGGATTTCCATGTATTTTTATCTCATGGCTACCGTAACAATCCAGCTTTTCTTGGATAGAAAGTCCAGCAGCAGTAATAGCCGTCTCCAAAGGCTCAAGGAGGTGGTTGCAGTTAATCAACCTTAATCTGTCCGTTTTAAACAGGGACAGCATACAGAAATCATTTGGATGAGCAGTAAAAGTTGGATCGTAAATGAAGAAGAAGCAGTCTCCAGTGCCTTTCAGATTAGTTGAAGTGATAAGTCTCCAGTTTACCCCACCCATCCTTCCCACTAAATTGCAAATTACTTTTCGAGTGTTCATTCCGTCCTCATGAGTCGAATCCCAGGTGCCATTGAAAGTAATCTCATGCAGGATTTCACCTGAAGACTGAACGTCCTCAGTTCCCGATACACTTTTGGCCGAAGCATCTTCAAGAGCTAGCATAACTGCTTGTTTTATATGCTCATCATGATGCAGAAGGATAAGTTTGTTGCCTTGCAGTCCACCACTAACTTATTACCAGGAGCAATACAGCAAACTCTAGATTTACCTCTGTTTTTATCAGATATTGCCTCCTTTGCAAAGAACCAAGTAGATTTGTCAGAATGCATTGCTAAATCACTACTTGTAATCAGGTTGTAGCCTAGATTGTACATTTCCTCTAGGAGACGTATGGCAAAAAATTTTCCAAGAGTAGCTCTTTTTTTACCCTGCCGAGGAAAAAAAGTAAACTTATCCCCAACATGCATCTTTACAGTACCACGATAATCTTTGAGTTTTCCTCGAGTGGATCCATATTTGGATTCTATTTCCTGATCGAGTATAACAAGCATTTCTCTCACCTCCGGTGTCACATTCATGACTCTTATCTTTGAGTTGAAACATATTGAGATTGCAATATAGGAATCAGGGATTGCGGTAACTTGGATGATGCTTTGTTGCCCATGTTACCTAAAAATAAAGCGATTTTGTCCAAATTTGGGAAATTAAGTTCTTATTTCTTGGCCAGTTTTGTATTTCGTCATATTGGTCAAAAGACAATAACACTATTCAACCCAGACAAAAAGCCTCTCGCGGTTTTTGCGGAAAGTTAATGTCGTGGTGCCGGTAAAATGGAATGGGTCCTGATCCTAGTTTGTTGGTCAACTGCTATGTCAGAATCAAGTTTCACAGAAATTTTAGTGAACCCCCCCCCTCAATTGATATCCAGAGAAAAAGATTTAAAATTAATTTTATAATTCTATCTCAGATCCATCATCATAATATTAGTTGATAGCCCAACCAATCGCAGAGAGGCCAGATTTTAATTATGAATCGAGCGCTCAAACGTCCCTGTTTTTTAGGTAAAGCAACCTCCAAAATGAAACAAGAATTGCGCCGGTTAGCGGACGCTAGATTTCCATCGACCGTAATTAATTACAATTAACGATCGTTTCATATTGGTTAAATTACCAAATTTCCTTGGGGCGTTACAGAGAACAAAATGGAGGGGTTGCCGTTGTCAATTATTTGAATCGAAAGTTAAACGACCGGACACCGTAGCGCAGCCTGTGCGGTGATATGCATGATGCAGTTAAAAGGACATCTGTCCGACAGCGACTCTTGTCCGACCCAATATGTTACCAGAAAAAAAGACATCTGTCCGAAATTGTGATCTAATTGCAATACGACACATTTCCATTTTCCAATCAGAGACATGATCTGAACTGAGATATGACCTGAGCTGAACTCTACCATAGTTTGTTTTCATTTGATGTCAAAAATTGGACAATAGTTTAAATGTTATATAAATAACTGATCTCCATACCGCTCTCCTGTGTGTAATGTAGGCTGTGATGTGATTGGCAGCTTGTTACAGCTTGTTAGTGTACGGCTAGCATGATCCTGTCCTCAAATAGTCAATCACGTATCGATGGATCAGATCTCAATGGATCAAATCAGCATTATATTAGGACTGTGGGAGCAACGTCACAAGATTACACGTGAGCTTGTGAAATACGAACGTGATCCGAAATCACAAATTTGATCCGAAAGTTGGACAGATGTCGCCAAAAACGACTCCTATCTGACAGCGACTCTTGTCCGAAACCGGTAATTCGACTGTCGGACAGATGTCACCCAATCAAATCTGTGGTAGTTAATACAATGTGAATCATAATAAAATGTATCTTTAAACTCTCCCGGGCAATTGCCCATAAGATCCTAGGTAGCCCTGTTGATGGGAGGTTGTTCAGTGATGTTACCAAGGCCCAAAAAAGATTTTCCCCACGTTCTCGTAGATCTGTAGTTATGTCATGATAGCCAAACGTATATGTGAGAACTGTGTCTGCTGCAGC